TCATTGGCAGAAGGAGGACGAGGAATTTGGCAGGCTGGGCTCAGCGAAGCGTTGAGCTTGTGAGGTCTGGGCTTCCGAAGGCGGAGATATGGCGTTTGAGGCGTTGGCGGATCGCGTGGGAGATCTGGGGTCGCTGGTTGGTCATGGCTAGCGTACACCTACAATGTCCCAGACATCATCCGTGCAACCAATCTGTGCAGTTACCTCTTTGTTTAGTTATCTTCGAGTTCTTCAACAAGAGATTACCAACGAGAGGAAGAAAGGTGGACATGCCCAGCCTTGCATTATCTCAACAGACTGACATCTGGTGGGAACTATTCGCGTAACGTTCGCAATTGATGCCAAGTATTGCGACATCTCGGTTGGCGGCATTGGCACCGAATGCGATGCTTACCTGGACAGGTCTACTGCAGCTGCACTAGCGCCCGAAAGACGGCGCTGTAAGTAGGCTGTCACACAGGCCGGCAGCTGTGAAAGGCTAATGCACTGAAACAAATGGCGAGCATGCAAGCGCACCCTTTTGTGTATCTTCGAAAGATTCGGGACGTTCCGCCTGAATGTGGAAATCAATCCGATGTTTCGATGGAAACATTAGCTAAGAAGGTAGTTTTTAAGTGCAAAAACGGAAGAAGATGCAATCTCATTGCTGAGCTCTTGGACGTGGTTCAGAACTCGAGGGTCTCCGCAAAGCCACATTCGGGATCGGTAATCTGGGTAAGGTTTCCAGCCTCATTTGCAGCGTAATAAGCGCCAGATTCACCTCCAGATGCTGTACAACCAGGGTATCGGGTTGAGATCACCCATGCGCGGACTTTCCAGCTGAACTCTTACCTGAATCGCTTAGACTATGCGGAGCGACTTCGTGGTAGCACGCCATCTGAGGCATGTATCACACTCGCGCGGGCCAGCGAATCGACACGCTCTTCAAGAAGAAGCAACTGTTCAGCTACGCACGCGCTCACGACCTAGCGGAATGCCACCACAACCAGCCTATGTCGCCTCTTCAGCCCGCGTGCTACGATGTGTAATTGTCCAAGATGCTTGGATGCCATTGGTTTGCCACGCTATAATGCATGCAACCTGGACCAGCGACGTGGGTTCCAGCAAGCACGAGCCGAGAGTCTGGAACAGTACGGAGTCTGCATGATCTGCGGGTATTCCGACGCAGCATGAGGCCACATCCTCGTGAGGGTTGATGAAGCGAGTGGCGGTTCATCCCGGACGTCTGGCCTTCCCAGCCCTATGCACCTTCGTATGTATATCGCCGAGGGTCTGGAGTTCGTAAGAACGTGGGATGGCCGACTACGACGGGCTGACGGTTGTCCTTATGGGGGTTCATGTCGGTCACCCCCTAGTCGGGCAATGGACGCCCGCAAGGAGGGAGGACTCGAACTTATCGTGGTATTCGTTCGATGGGAGTTGTTGCGGTAATGAAAGTAGTGAATCATGCCGTGCTTGAGCTTGGTAGCGCTCTTGAAGATCGATAATGCGTGATCTGGCGAATGTCAGTACATTTGCGAATTGAGGCGCCCTCGGCTGTGAATGGCGCGTGCGAGATGCTGCGCCAATTGTAGCTCCACGCGAATTCAGAAATTGTGCAAGATCCAAATCCGTCGTGGATAGACATAATGCCGGTGTTCCGTAGTTGATGCGTGAGAAGCAGTCTCGTGTGAAGCCCCCGATGGAGCGCTGAGGCGATCACGAGATTACGTCATCGACCCTTCGCGAAAACCAACACGCGACGCTGACCTCAGCTTGCAACACGCGACAACATGTGTGTCTTTCCGATAGGGCAAAATGCAAGTAAATCTAGATGCACAGCTGACTGATACTCTAAACTCCGTTTCTCGTCGTTCGGTGAAGCCTTAACGCCATGGAAAGTCGCGTTTCGCTCTTCGATGCGTCCACGGGTGCCGATTAAAGCGGAGTGAGGGGTCGAAGGAAGCAACGATGACCTCAGCCCTGACCGGGGCGTAATGTGACATTACAAGGTAATAAGAGGTATATGAACCCTGGATCCAGCAATGGTGGAAGCGCGACAACTATACACAGGTGTGGCGACTCGTGCGATGGCTTCCAAAACCCTTCTTCTCCGGGGCGGTGTCGCTCTGATTCATGATGCAAACAACCACGTCGTTCCAACCAAATCTGATGTTCTTGTCGAAGACGGCAAGATAACGAGAATTGCGCATGATATCAAACCATCTGAGGGAACCGAGACTATCGACTGCGCCGATAAGATAATCAGCCCAGGTTTCATCGATACTCACCGTCATGCTTGGCAGACGCAGCTCAAAGGCAGGCATGCCAATGAGCAGCTGCTGGACTACATGGTGACTGGTATGGCTTCATGTGGAACTAGACGGCCTCATCTTAACAAAGAGCAGGCAACTCACAGTCTTTCCAATACTCGCCCGAAGATGTCTTCTACGGCCAGCTCGCCAGTTTACTGGAAAGCATTGCAGCTGGCACAACCACGGTAGTTGAGCACGCACATATCACCCGCTCACCCGAACACGCCAAAGCCGCCATCGCAGGTACTGCATCTTCCGGCATGCGCTCGGTGTTCTGCTACACTCCAATCTCGCTTGTCAAGCAGTTCAACCCCCTCACCTGGAATCCAAACCTTCTCGAAGACTGGGTTATGAACACCTTTGAGGAGCTCGCCGACAACGGGCCTTTTGGAGACGGAAGGGTAACGCTGGGTTTCGCGTTCGACTTTTGGTTTCTACCTGCGGATATGATCAAAGGCATATTCGCCAGAGTGAACGCGAAAGGCGTCAAGACGATTACCACCCACGGCTCTGTGTCGCTAGGAGGTAGTGTGGTACAAGCAGTATCGGAGCATGGTCTACTAGATGAGAAGATCATCGTATCGCATGGTGGCACGATCGTCAAGGCTGATGCTGAGCTCTTGAAGGCCGCTGGTGCATTCGTGAGTTCGACCCCGAGTTCAGAGCTCCAGATGGCCATGGGGCGATCCTACTGCTTCGATGCCTCATTTCCAGATGGAGGCGTAAGCGGAGATTCGGTCGGACTGCAGGAAAATGCCGCGCTCGGTGTTGATTGCCATTCCGCCACGGCCGGCTCCATCATCGCTGAAGCAAAACTCGGCCTCGGTAATGCGCGAAACCACTACAACGAACACATTATGAAACAAGACAAGATTCCACGAGCTCTTCCCGATAGTCTCAGCGTCGAGGCCGCCTTCAATCTTGCAACGATCAAGGGTGCAGAGGCTGTGAACATGAGCAGCGAGATTGGGCGCATCGCGGAAGGGCATAAGGCAGATCTGGTCATCTTCGATGCTCTGAGTCCTAGCATGGTCGGCGCTGCACAACACGACCCAGTCGCCGCCATCATCCTACATTCCAGTCCAGCAGATATCGAGACTGTCATTGTCGATGGTACCGTAAGGAAGAAGGATGGAAAGCTACTGCCGGTACAGGTCGACAGCGGCGCGAAAGAGATGATCGGTCATGATACTCTCGACTGGCCAAGCATCGCCAGAGAGATTGTCTCAGGTAGGGAGAAGATGCAGAAGGAGATTGACAAGATCGATTTCGACGAAGCATACGAGGCAATACTCAAGATGTTCCACGTCGACAAGACGAAACTGGTAGATTGAGATCTGTAGAGTATTTCCGGTACCGGAGAACGCTGTCTCGATGCTCAAGCCCCGGTTGAAGAGAAAGCATTGGTAGTCTGATCTCCGTAGAGTATGGACAGGGTCAAGATACGCTGTTTCGATACTCAAATCCTGGTTGAGGGGGTTGATCGTTATCACTTGGCTGTTATAGATCGTGGTTTGTATGGCAATCGGCCCTCAGCCGCCAGCGCGAGCGCGACGCGTTGCATTGAAGTGGATTTCGTTATTCGGTCAGCACTTCCTTCACTCCAACCTCACGGGGGCAAGAATATCTAATGCATTCCTCGCTCCGCAAACTTGTGGAACCGCTCTCGCAGTTATTGATCTCTTTAATGTGTATTATTATCCTAAACTTTTCCCAAACGAAGGACGAGAACGCCCACCATCCGTCTCTATGCCGCCGAACGAAACAAGGTACCTGGAGCCGAAGGAGCTCGATCCAAAGTTTCGCGCCTACAGACATGCAATCATGAAACACACGAAGTATGAGGTGGAAGTACGCGGCGTCGAAGCACGGCTATCTCGCTCGCTCGGGCAAGGCCAGGAGGCCTTCACCACTCTCCGTCCGACGACTTATATCCTGTACTCAACTTACTACATCGACTGCATGACCATAGTTGGAAAGAAGCTATACTACGAGTCTCTCGATGGCTATGAGCAAGGACAACTGCAGCTGAAGAGGGTAATCAACCATAGCGATGAGGTCGAGGTGGAAGTAAGCGTCTGTTTACCAGACGGGACTGGCGTTTGGGAAGGAAGTTTTACGGGCTCATGGCCAAACTCAAGGATACGTGCGCTCGAAAAGGTGCCTGTGGTCTTATCTAGGCCTACCAAGATCCTGCACAGCGTGCGGCCTCCATGGCCCATGACATTGATCTTTCTCGAAGATGGGTATTTGAGAGTGAAATACAACGCCCATGATGTTCACAGTTTCTATGCTGTTGCTCAGGGTAGCTCAGACACCGATGATCTCCAAGCGTGGAGTATCTGATCAGGAGTGGTGGGAGGAGACACCGGAGGGGCTGGTTACTTGATTCGGTTCGTCCTACCTAGGTAGGCACCCGCGGACTTCCTTCCCTCCAAATTGAAAGGAGGCAAACTTATCTAAATCTCTTCTTACTGTGCAAACTGGCGGTGAGATATGTGAGCAACTATATTGCATCTGAAAAAGCACAAGCTATCGAAGAACATGTCAGGCAGCTCTAGCCTGATCGAGTTAGACCAATCAGGTGATGACGTGCACGGTGAGCACCGACCCAGCCGTAATATCCGCAGGTCTTTTCATTCCATCTTTACTTCGACCACAAAACATTTTCATTCGGCAGGTGATTCTCAGTCTGCGCTTTGCATCATGGACAAGCGCATTATATCAAGAAAGGAGCGTGAGCAGGTGGAGCTACGCAAGTTACCCGAAGACCTGCGTCGTAAAAAGGAATGTCGCAAAGTAATTCGGCAGATTCTCAAGCAGCGCAAGGCTCTTAGTTTTCCTAGTGGCGAAGATCCAGGTCGAGACGACGACGACGACTGCGCTGAGCGCGGCATCCAGCAAATTGAAGCACGGCTTAATCAACAGCTGCAGCAAGGCCACAGGCCCTTGGTTCCGTTGAAACTCGCGACTTACATTCTTACAGCGAAGAGTTTCATCAAGGATACTACAGGTGGGGATGGAAACTGCATTCACGATGGTTTGGTCCATGACGATGCGCCCGGTCGATTGTACATCGAGAAAATTTCGAGACAAGGAGACGACGTTGAAGTCAAGGCGAACTTGTGGTTCAAGCTAGGTACGAGGACCTGCCTCAAAGAGCAGGTTGAATTTACTGGATCGTGGCCAGATCTCGAAATACCCGCACTTGAAGAGATCTCAGTAAAATTCTGTGACGAATCGCAGGTCCGTTACAGAGGTGCATCGCAGAAACAGAAGGAGATGAACCAAGAGTCAATGCGAATCACTCTCGTCTTCCTCCGCGACGGCTACTTGAGTATGAGAGCTCAGGCGGTACCATTCTACACGATAAGGGAAGATATTGAGTTCTATGGCATCAAAACGAGTAAAATAAAGGAAAGAGACAGCGGACTAATTGAGCGTCTCGAGGACAGCGACCCTGAGACAACTGAGCCCAGCGACGAAGACACCACAGACAGCGAAAGCGACAGCGACAGCGATATTTGGTACAGCGATTACGACAAGGCACGAGCAAAACACGCGAAGCAAGAAGCGCGTGGCAAAGCCATCGAAGCATGGCTTGAGGAACGCATCGCTTCAGGAGAGGAAGAAACCGTCGAAAGCATGGAAGCACGCAGAACAAGTCTGGAAGATTATAATCAAGTTCTCAAGTGGAATCTCTGGTCTACTTCATATCTCGACATGCTCGTCGCTAAAAAAGGCTGGCGAACTGATAATGAATTGTTCCACGGCGGCGGTTGCGGCGACTTCAGCATCACAACATACGGCCGGGTGGACGGTAGGCCTGCTAAGGGCACCCTGACTCTTCCGCCGCAGTACGATCACTTCCCAGGCGATCTTAAGTGGACGATGGAGAGAAGCGTTGTAAACTCTAAGCGACTTAACGCCATCATGTCCACCGAAGACTCGCCGCACAAACTGAAGTTTCGCATATGCTTTGTTGAGAATGGGCATATGAAGATACGCATTCCAGCTCACGAGATCAGAGGAAGCAGAGAAAACGGTCTCATCGACTTCTACGCTATCGCTGAGGACTTGCCAGGTTTTCGTCCTCATCAAAGGCGGCGTGGTGTGGTTAGAGAGTGGTGGGGAAAGACGCCTGATGGACTGGTGTACAACCCGCCTACCGGCGCTATAGAAGACAGTCGTAGCGAATGTTCGGACCACCCGGATAACTGTACGCACTTCGATCCATACGACCGTGGGTTTTAATAAGTGGTTGTATAGTACATTGTTCGTCGAAATGAATTGATAGTGTTTTCACGACCTCGGGATGCGGCGGGTCAAAGACGGCTAGTGCAACCCCTTTCCGTAACCATGGACACCGTTCCGAGCCTTCCAAGGTTTTCTGGCCACACAAAACGCGTCGCAACATCACATTCCGAATTACACTTCTGTTACAGCTACGCCACATTCCCAGATAGACATGCGTTCTGACGTCAACATGGCATTTCCAAATGGTGAGTCTGCCGAGGTACCTACTTTTGATTTACCGCGACGCTAACCACAACGGACACGATAGGGAAAGTGTTTCAGACCCCAGGTCTCATGAGCCTCGCAACTGATCTCGCGAATAAGAGTTTAGCGTCAGTCACAGAATGTAGGGTCGCGGTTCAATGTGCGCCAGGATGAATACTAACGCATTGCAGTGATCAATGGACAGTGGGATAGGAAGACGTGCGAAAGGAAGACGTGCGAAGACTACCGCATCAACCGCATCGACCGCATCAATTGCATTAAGTGCTACCAAGATGCCATGAAATTCTATTCTAACACGGTACAGTCTTTCGATGGTAAATACGAGAATCTCTATTTCGAAAGATTCATCGCCGGAATGCGCGACGAACTACTGGAGGCGGGCGTTCATCGGTCGATACTTGATTTTGTAGTGAAAGAGCACGTGGGCCGTTTGAAGGAGGCTCGTTCTGCAAAATCTGCTGTTAGAGAGGAACTGGCATTGCCAGAAAAAGGCCAGCAGTATCACGCAACGCACACCGTACACCACGACACCGAAACGAGCGAAAACGCGCCCGCGTCGGCACCACTTCCCGAGCAAGATGAGCATGTGAGCCGTGAAATTGAGCGGGCGTATTGGGCCGCCTTACCAGATGAAGAAAGCGAATCAGACTCAAAACCAGACGAAGACGTGCTAGACGACAGCACTCCGACTCACCACGACGTGCGTAACACCGCGGCTGATCTAGAAGCAGAGAAACTATCGACCTTCTCACAACATCTAGAATGGATCTCCAAAGGATGGGCTGTGACTCGTTGGCTCATAAAAGAGAAGGCGCAAGGTAGAGAACATCCCGTAGGAAACATCAAGGGTGAATGGGTTCTCTACTCCGATAAGCACATTCAGCTTCGGCCAAGAACGTGCAAGGATGTTTTAGATCGAACATTCAAACCCGGGAGGCTCGTCATACGAGATTGCGTTGGCGAAGACAAGATTAAGCTGTCATTCCAGATGTTTTATCCAATCATCACACCAGTTCTGGATTTCGGGATACAGAAGGTCGATGTGCCATTTGTGGTCGAGGAAGAGCCTGTTTATTGCGAAGACGAGACAGGGTTTACGAAGGGCCTGCGCTTCCTAGGCAACGGATACCTTACTCTACACATGCCAGCGAGTTTGGTAGGAGGCGAGGGCTCAGATATGGTCGAATTCTTTGCTGTTTCGCGCAACAGGGACGAACACGCTCGCGAGATGGAATGGGCAAGGGGACATTATGGATGGGTTTACCGACCATACGGAAAGGAAGCGGAGCCGGTAACTTTGGCAAGCCCATTCCAGGAGATAAGGGCGCCTGTGACTCAGACAAGAAGGTCATACGAGGAAGACGACTATGATCTCGATGACGGCTTCTGTTATTACGAGGATAAGGAAATGCAGTGTTGCGATGATGATTGTCCGAAGCATAGTCGCATGGACGAGAGGGAGTGGTAAACATAAAAGAACATATTGTCTGGTACTAGGTGGACACCTCCAGTCGTCTTTGAGAGCTCGAATTGGAAAACTTTTCGGCAAGATAGACGGGAATACATACAATGGACGAATCATTCTAGCAGCTGCGAATGATGGTCGTTACGCTAAGAGCCGTGCTGACAGTGTATACCACTCCTCCCAGCAATGAAATAAGGAGTGCGGGATTAAAAAGAATCTTGCTTTAATAAAGAAGGCTGGGTGTAAACTAAAGTGGCTGTTCGGTCTCATTCCTCGGACGCGATGCGACGCGCCGCGCTAATGACCCTTGCACGCTAATCAGGGGTGAACGCTTCCTATCTCGTCGCATTGGAGCGTGCGTATCCTTCTCGGAATCGTTTCCGGGGCAGCCTCCTCCTCAATCACCAGTAAACACACACAACAACCCAATGGCTCCAATAAAGAAGAGTTCACACGTCAAGCGTATGTGCAGCATAGTTCGGCTAGGAAGGAACCGCTTCTAACGATCTACAGCAGCTACGCGCAAGCTCACACGGGACGGAAAGATTAGGGATTACTTCCGAGTCGTTCCGAAAGAGCCTCCTGTCTCTGCAAAGCCTCCTGTTCCTGCACAGCTTTCTGATTTTGCGAAACCGTTTGTTCCTGCAAATCCTACTGTTCACGCAAAGCCTCCCGTTCCTGCAAAGCCTACAAACATTAGGATCGATGAACACCGGGACCGATCAGATATCATTGCAGCAGCGAGGGAGTTGTCGAATCCCAACCGCAAAAGGCTGCATTACAATGGGTTCGGCCAGACCGCTTTCGAGCGCAAAGGACGAGCTATGCTCGTCGAGTACCAGAAGGCAGTCCAGCGCGCTGAGCAGGACAGAAGCTTGACCCATTTCGAGCACGTATCAGAGGCTATTCTCCTCCAGTATGAAAACGAGATGGTCGAGGTCGTCGATGAGGAGCGTGCGAACAGAGAGGCCTACTGTTCAAGCGAGGGAATGAAACGTGAACGGAAACGGAATTATGAGGTCGAAAGGCAGGTCGAGTTCGAGCGCGAACAACAAGCTATTCTCATGAAGTACTACAAGAAGATGGTCCAGCTCGCCGAAAACAGGAATGCGGTAGAAGATACTCTAAACCGAGAGATCGACTATCAAAACGAGGTTAAACACGTTTATGAGTATCTCACCGAGAAGCTGTATGGTGGCAATGGTACATATGAGTGTCCACAAGAGCCGGTCTACATTCGCGGAGAATATACGCTATATTCCGAGAAGATCCTGTCATATGCGATTGCCAAGAACCCACACCGGATAACCGATAACTCCTCCCACAACTGGCGCACTGGTACTATACGACTGGGACAACGTTGGGGAGATGGCAAAGGCCCTGGCGCTGAAATCAATCTCTTCCATGACAACAGGAGTGTAACCTTTGCATACACCGCTCCAAAACTTCCGTCGAGGCAAATCTGTTCGGGTTATTGGCATTACTTAGGTATAGAAGTAGAGGTTGGGATTACCTTTTTGGGCGGTGCATATCTGATCATAGAACTCCCGGATATAAGATGTCATGGAACGGTTATTCTTTGTGGAATTCTAGACAGGGACGAGGAAGAGATGGCAGAATGGTGGCCGGGTATGCCGGAATGGAAGCCGCAACCTCATTACAAAACGCCGTACAACCCTGTCTTACCCCAAGGCCAGACTCGATATCTCGCACCTACTGCGGCCACTGGACAGGACGTCCGCATCCAATAATGTACAACATACCTGTTTTATTAAGTAACGATGATGCACACTGAATCGATTCTAGACTCGTTTAAAAAGAGAAGGCTGGTTTTCGACATCTTGAGTCGGCCCGGGGATTTGGGCTTCAAGCCGTGAACGCGACTTCGACACGCTAAGGTATTACAAGCGCTGATGGAGGCTGGTCGCGTCTTCTTTATCTATAAAATGGCTGGCAGTGAACGGAAAAAAGAAAAGACATCTATCTTCTTACAATTGTGTCGGATTGCAGCTGATCCTTGAGTAAGTGCGCATTCATTTTCTCTGAGACGCGGATACTAACAACTAGATACAGCGATATCGCACGAGGACACCGAAAACCATTGCAAACTTGTGCCTCAGCAAGCAGGACCTTCCGGAACATTTGCAGCTATGAACACTCATTACGTCGAATCAGCACAGACAATGGTTATCGCACCCGAGGAGGGTGATTCAGACCCGTGGAGCTCGAGCGACGACGGAGATTCCTCTAGTGAAAACGAGACCGAAAGAGTAGGAAACAGTGCATCTAGCACGGCCGATCCTGACGAATACAACGGCTTCCCGGCCGCCGTTAACGCTGCGTACAAGCTACATGAACAGTACCATGACGACGCTTTTCGTGCCTTCGAGCAGATCGAATCGAGTCTAAATGATGGAACGTTGAACCAAGGAATATGTGACGGGCCAAACACCCCAGTCTTACCGATCCGCGGTGAATATACGTTGTACTCCCCCTGCTATCAGAATTTCCATTACCAAAACAATCCAACCCTCTGGACCGAAGAGTTTGCCAGTACATGGATGGCAGGTAGCATCCGTTTTGGACAGCGCTGGAGAAATGATTGGTTTCCTATTGGGGCCGAGTGCACGATTGCTGGACTCAGGCGTCCTCTCACCTTCGGGTGTCCTGAGGCAAGATGCTTCGTTGGTAAAATAAAAGACATTCACGCCGATGGTGGTAATGTTTCTCGAGATAAGGATCCAAAGAGCTGGACGATATGCTGTCTTAAGGGTTCATATATGCTCATATACATCCCGGCGACAGAAATAGGTGACACTATTGGAGAAGAAGATTACTTGTTCATCGGGATTCTGGATAGGACAGAGGAAGAGATGGCAGCCACCGGATTTGCAAAGAACTATTGGAGTAGACCAGTACCATACTACGAAGCGCCGTACATCTCCACTTTACCCCAAGGTCGAACTCGGTAAGCCATGTCCTTGTACGAACTGACGTGAGACATGTCCTGACTTGCACCAACCTATAGGTACCTTGCACCAACTTCTCTAGGTGAAGAAGGACCTAGCACTCCTGCTGCCCCGAAGATCCAAGACGAAACGAATCCTACTACAGGTAAGTTTGCTTTCATGTTTAATTCATTTGAAAGCTTATGTGTCACAGTCTGCCATACACCTAGATTACCTACGCACATGTCTGGACATAGCAAGTTGCAAACAGAGGATTCGACGATATCATCCTCGTGGGATGATAACTCAAAGTACGAGAAGGCTCTTGCTGACCACCAGGCTCACGAAGCCAATTGTTTAAGGTTCGCGTCTGTCGTGGAACCGTGGTTTCTTGATGACGATGAGAAGCCGATAGAGTCATTGGAAGGCAATTGGACTCTATATTCACCAGGACTTATCTCTATGGCACACAAGCTCCGAATGGCCGGGCAAACAGATCTAGCATACACCGTCGGAACGATCTGCCTTGGCAAGCATGAACTAAGCGATGAATGTTGGAAGCACTACCCACTCAAAAGTCAGGTATACATCACTGGCCTCGGTAGCTTCTGGTGGATCTCACCCGATATCCCACATTACGCATTCGGGGGAGAGGAAGAGGATGCTCAGTTCTTGCTCAATGTGGATACACGGATCAAAATCACTTTCTTTGTAACTTTTCTTACTGGTGGCGTGATGAAGCTGAGGCTTTGTGCACCGTCCGAGTCGGGTTTAGATGATGTTATCGTTTGGGCTGTCAATGACGAAGGGGAGGTAAATATCCAGGTGTATGTTCCGGGGTAATCGATGCTCTTCATTGCAATTAGTGCCTCTGGCGTTGAGTACGAGATGCCTTGCAATTGAGACCTCTGGACTTTGGTTCAACTGTGCAAGTGACGTGATGTTGTTCGTGACTCGCTCTCCACTCTATTATTCGTAAGAAGCGGCGGTCTTTCGTTGCAGTGGGCAGTTGAACGTTAAAAGGTAGTTGCGGTGCTTGAGAACAAGGAAAGTAGAGATCTGCGTTGCGGCTCCCCAGTCGAACGTCATCCAGTCGGGTGGCGCAGGAGCTTGGACCCTGAAACATCCCCGAAATCGATAGCTTCCTCGAAAGATATCCCCAACACCATTACAATCGCAGCGCATACCCAATTCTTTGACCTTTTATTATTGAAGTGCAGTCTCTGCATATCACCTGATCGCTAAACATACTTCAACCGCCACAATGGACGTCAAAGAGCCCCTACTACCGTCTGACCCCCCGCCCTCGTATGAAGATGCGCGGAAGTCACCAATCCCACAAAACAAGTCGGCATCGGGCACACCATTAGCGAAGAGGCCACCTCCTCCGCCACTAAATCTGCCAGCGCTGAATGAGTTGAGAGGATCGAGAGTTGTGCTTGCGAGCGCGTCACCACGTAGAAGACAGCTTCTCGCACAGGCAAGAGAATCTCCACTACGACGTGAACATGTTAAAAGCTAACTCGGATCAGATCGGCCTCACAAAGATCGACGTAGTCCCCTCCAAGTTCGCCGAAAACCTAGACCACTCGCTCGGCGCGCTGAACTACGTCCTCGAAACCGCATCCGCCAAAGCGCATGACGTATACAAAAGCGAGATTAACAATCGCGAGCGCGGCGAACCTGCCATCGTCATCGCTGCCGACACAATCGTAGTATCGCACGCTGGGCGGATACTGGAGAAGCCAAAGAGCGAGGCAGACCATATAGCAACGCTGAAGATGTTGAGAGATGAGGGCGCGCACAAGGTTATGACCGCCGTTGCGGTGATGAAGCCATTAGAGTCTGCGGTAGATCCGGGATATGCCATGGAGACACATGTTGAAGAGACTACGGTTATGTTCGATCCTACTGGTACTTCTTCCTGTTCAGAAATAGCTGAACCAGATGCTAACACGAGTAGTGACCGACGAACTGATCCTCGCATACGTCAAAACGCGCGACGGTAACGACAAAGCAGGCGGCTATGGTATACAGACAGCGGGCGCGTGCCTTATCGAGCGCATAGAAGGGTCATACGACAACGTTGTTGGTTTGCCGTTACGGCAGACGCTGAAGCTGATAGAGAAGGTCATGGAGCCTGAGGAGGAAGAGGGGGACTTCTTTGTGGACAGCAGAGAAGACGAAGAGGAGGAGTAGGACAAGAACCTCCAAGTACATCAGGCGAGCGATAGTGTATGGCATGCACACAAATCTCCACCTAGGCGTAAGAGCCGTCGACGACGGGATTAAGCATGACATCGCGTAAGAAGGGAAGTTTCCTGTGTTTACACGGAGTAAAGGTTATAATAGATTTCTTGAGGCTAGGCTAGGTCAGATAGCTCTATGGAGCAGTTGACTGCTTTCGAGGGAAGATGATGGTTGACAAATACACAAGTAATTCATCACGCACCGCATCCAACGGAGACATAGGAACCAATGTACCGACTTACGTCCGTATCCTCCCGGCAGACTATGCATGAATACTGTAAAGGTTCTCGTACGATACGCTTTGAGACGCAATCGGCTTGCTCGTGATCATTTTCTGACATGCTGCTCCTATTGCCAATGCACAAGACGGATCAGAAATATGCTCGGACGTTTCATTAAGCCTTCCAGGTCAGCACACTACTAGCATCCTCACCGCTGAGTGCATTGAATCCATAGCGACTTCTAGCTACACCCCTCCATTACCAATCCACGCCCCACTTGCCTCGGCTCAGCCTTAAATCTCGCAGCGGGCACCTTTCCCAAAGCGGGTGACTCCCGGCGCGAGCGCTCGTCATGGCTTCGTGTCGTTCAACGTTGTCTCGAAGATTCTGCATTTGCGACAAGTTTCGTGCCCCGCGTCGAGACACCTGGCCGAAGTCGTGGCTTCTAGAGTCGGACGAATATTCGTTTTGCGCCTCTTTGCCGGTCGCTGGCCGATATGCAACGTTACGACTGGGCTTGCCGTGCTAGGACGGCGCCTCCGGGTCCCTCCCTCCACCCATGATGCAATCAGGGTCTTTCTCTCGGCGGTGAAATCACAGTTTGTCAGCTAGAGGTGTTGGTATATAGCTAGGTGCTCATGTCTCAATCTTCAGCATCAAATTATTAAACCACTCTACAACATCAACACAAGATACCCTACTTCTTCCTTCCTAACACCCAACTCTACACAACACAAACACACCATCATGGTTCAGAACAAGGGCGTCATCTTCAAGAAGGTCCCAGAGGGATGGCCAAAGCCAGGCCAGGACCTCGCTGTTGAGGCCCGCGACATCGACCTCGACCAGAAGCTCCCAGAGGGCGCTCTTCTCGTCAAGAACTTCTACGCCTCTTTCGACCCCTACCAGCGTGGCCGCATGCGTGCACCCGACGTCAAGTCCTACTCCCCTCCCTTCGAGCTAGGCAAGCCCATCACCAACCGCTCCATCTTCAAGGTCGTCAAGTCCGCCAGCGACAAGTTCAAGGAGGGCCAAACCCTCATCACCATGGGCATCAGCCCCATTGAGGAGTACTCCATCCTCGACAAGGATGCCGTCGCCAACTGCATCGAGCTCAAGAACCCCTACAACCTCGACCCCAAGTACTTCCTCGGTCCCCTCGGCATGCCCGGTCTAACAGCCTGGTCCTCCTTCTACGAGATCGGCCAACCCAAGAAGGGCGAGACAATCTTCATCTCCGCCGCCTCAGGCGCCGTCGGCCAGCTCGTCGGCCAACTCGCCAAGCACGAAGGCCTCACCGTCATCGGCTCCGTCGGCGACGACAAGAAGCTCGACTTCATCACCAAGGAGCTCAACTTCGACTCCGGCTTCAACTACAAGACCGAGAAGCCCGCGGACGCCCTCGCCCGCCTCGCCCCCAACGGCATCGACATCTACTACGAGAACGTCGGCGGCGAGCAACTCGAAGCCGCCATCAACGCCATGAACAACTTCGGTCGCATCGTCGCCTGCGGCATGATCTCCCAGTACAACGCTAAGCCCGGCGAGCAGTACCCCATCCGCAACCTCATGAACGTTGTTGCCAAGCGCCTTACTATCCGCGGTTTCATTGTTGGTGACGAGAACATGGGTCCTAAGCATGCGAAGGAGCACCAGGAGAAGCTGCAGAAGTGGTTGTCTGAGGGCACTTTCAAGGCAAAGATCAGTGTTACGGAGGGTATCGATAATGCGGTTGACGGCTTTATTGGTATGCTCGAGGGAAAGAACTTTGGTAAGGCGGTGTTGCAGATTGCGGATTTGAGCAAGGAGTAGGATGTGGATGTATATACCCCGGTTTAGTCAGCATTAATGCTGTATGAATGAAAGATGAATGAACAATAACCATGGCATACCAGTTTTACCAGTGATGCAGTGGAGTTTGGGGTTGGATGGTTGGGTCTGTTGATGACTCGCGCAACGCTAGCGCGGTTTGGGTGCTGCCTGGTAGCATGACTCGGCTTGGAGGAAACAGCTGGGCATAGTTGCAGTTTCCTTGCTCTATCACTCCCACTTTCTTACAAACCACAACATCAAGAAGGTATGCCAATCCTCGGTTTCGCCGCGCGTTACGATACATGTTGATAATCTCCGCGGTAGATCACTAGACGCTCGTAGCCACTCTCAGCCTTGCTGCAAGGTGGATTTGTCAAGGCTACGATGAAGCACAGCGACCCCCCGGCTGCCGTAGTCAGCAGCGTGTAGCGTAGCACCTTCCTCATTTGACGATTGCCTGCTACTTATCTCCTTCCAAATCGCGAATATGCAGCGTCGTACAAACATGCGCAAATCATTTGCGATAGGTTCTAGATGCGCAGTCGTCGATTGAACGGTTGAGACGGTGTTGGGAATGCGATCCTGAGAGGGACGTGGATCTGCAACTGCCGTCCACATTCGAGCCAGCCCTGCCTTCCTCTCAATGCAGTCATCTTGTGATCTATTGTGGGGGCCAGAATCAGCGAATCAAGGTTTTGTGGCGACGTAGGCGACGCGGGTGATCATGTCCTCCCTGTTTGAACAGGCTGCAGATGTGCTGACGCTATCTAGGCAGACTTTTCGCTGCCTTGGACGTAGCTTCCTTCAACACATCGCGGGATACAACTACTCCATATTCATTGCTTCCACATTTCGTCTGCGTTCAGGGTGTGATACCGCCATACATCAGACTAGCTTCGTAGACTCTTCTGTCTTGTTGGTCATCTACCACAATCTACAGTCTTGGAGACACTGGCATCGTAAGCAGTGAGACGGTTCCTATGGTGCCATAACTTTATACATCAGTACTTTGCTGCCACCTCCTAGAGTGCGTTCTCACAATTATGGGTAACTGTAACAGTTCCCAGATGTGTGATGGCGGGAAATCCAATGGGCCGATGGAGTTCAACGCAGATATCGCGGGCATCGGCGTGAGTAGCGAACTTGAAAGACAAGTACCGTGCTGATTGAAAGCCAGATTCTCACGTCGTTCTTTTTCAGCGCGCTGGCTGTTTTCGCAGTCGTAACTTGGGGATACCTGACAGCAACCTTGCCTTCGGGTCTGCTGCAACCAACTGATCAGCACGCACTTATGTTACTCAAGAGTCCCTTTACGCGAAAACGAAGCCACGATCGCTCGGAAGCTGTCATACCAGCGCAGACGCCGAAGCAGCGCAGCCATGGCCGTGTTCTGATCGGATTTCTCAAGATGCTCAGTGATCAGCAGCTCATAACCGGAATATCTATATTGATCGCTGCGCTGTCAAGTCGATGTGTCATCCGTCGGTATGAGTGGCATATCGTTACGTCACTGGCTTATTTCTCGGTGGCTACGCATACTTTGTCTCTTGATGTACTCCGGGATCATCTAGCCCAGCACACTTGGATTAGGTACTGTCGCATATGCTTCACACTTCTATTCGTCGCTTTCTTCAGCTTCGCATTCTTTGTGGACCGAGTAAAACCATACGGAGAAGAAGCTCGAATTATACAATGCGTGTTACTGAATTGGGGATCACCCGGAGACGATACATTCGTAGACGGCGTGTACTTGATTGTTCTCGAAGTCGTTCCTGTGTTGGTAATGCTGTGGGGAAAACATATCTCAGCTTTGACTCGAGTAGTCGCTCCGGAAGTCACCCATCATCGCCATGTTACTACTACGTTGATAGATCGCATATCAGTACACTTTTGGAGTTGGAAGAGCCATCTTTCTACAGCAGAGACCACGAGACTCGTTACCGATGCGCAAATCTACTACGATACCAAGATCGGACCATCCAAGAAAAGGACGAGGGTGTCTACGTGGTACTTCCTCGAACAGTACCATGAGGCCTATCTTTCTGAGATTCCAGTATGGGCTTTTCAGCTTGTCTACGGAACGACCGTCGCGGTCAGAGCAGTATGGAATCCTGATATAAGCTTCCCGAAAGAACCATCGATGCTTGGGTTTGGTCAAGTCGTTGCAATTGGCTTACTCGTCCTTCCACTGCTTGCTCTAGTCGAGATGACAAATGGTAAGTTGTACCCCTATACATATTATAAATTTACTAATCCAATGAAGAGCAAAGCGTGTCGGATAAATCTCACCCTTCATCAAACCAGGAACAACTACACCGGGTCAATGCCGCAGACGTCTCATCCCCAAGCCTAAATACATCAGAATCATTAGCTCATAAGTCGTTCAATCGCCGATCAAGTAATGGCGTGGACCAGTCTGTGAGCGCTACAAGTCAACCTCTCTTCGAGACAACCAGAAAGGTTGCCATTCTATCTTTGATCATGTGCGCATTATGTACCGTCGTGATGGTTAGCGCGGCTAGCATAGTTGTTCACCAATACAACATGTTATTAATTATCGTTGGGATATATATACTGTCAAGACAAATCATCGTCACGAAGCGTCAAATCAGTCAAGCTCAATTCGTATGGAGAGAGATCAGATCACGCAAGACCAAGAAGACGTCCACCCAGCCGCTTCTACCGGCACCTGGCACATCTGATGAAATCACACCAGCTATCACATCTGGCAATAGCATTTCAGATGGCCCACCCCGACTGCCTTCACTCGACATATCCGACAACCTGTCCAGCAATGCACACACTACTGCGACAGAGACGAGCCCGACGTTCGGACGACCTCGCAGGCAAGACACGGAAGCTAGCCTTGGCCTAAACACCTTGTTCAACAGGCAAGATGGAAGTTCTTGAACCCAA